TCCCCTTACCCAATTCCCCAAATAAAATTAAAAAAAAAAAGATTTGTATCTAAAATATGTAAAGAACACTTACAACTCAAAATAATAAAAGACAACACAATTAATAATAAGCAAAAATTTTGAATAAGCAAAGATATGCAAAGGGCCAATAAGCACATGAAAAATGTCCAGCATCATTAATCAATAGGGAAAGCAAGATAAACCATAATGAGATACCACTTCACATTCGTAAGAATGGCTATAATAAAAAACAAACAAATCATAACAAATCTTGGTGAGTTCTAGAGAGAGTTCTAGAGATCCGGAAAGCCTCCTACATTGCTGGTTGAAATGGAGACTAGTGTTACCACTTTGAAAAATAACTTAGTTGTTTCTTAAAATGTTAGGCACAGATATCTAAACAAGAAAATAAAAACATATGCCTACACAAAGTACTAAAAATGATTAATTGTACACTTAAAATAAATGAACCTTATTGAATGTAAATTATAACGCAATAAAATTGCTTTTTTAAAAAAGTTAGAGACATGAAATATATAAAAAGACCCAAATTCATTGGCTGTAATTAAGGACAGATTAGATATCACAGAAAAAAAGATTAATGGACTTGAAAACACAGCAGTAGAAATTATCCATAATGAATTTAAGAGAGGAGAAAGAATTTTAAAAATAAGGGTAACATTGCTGTGCTATGTGACAACTTAAAGTAACCTACTATATGTGTAATTGAAGGCTCCAAAGGAAAAATGTATGTGGGTGCGGGGGAGGAGGGCAGAAAAAATTGAAATATTGGATGAAAACACACCATTTATTTAAAAAAAAACCTATAAACCCACAGATCAAAGAAGCTCAATCAGTGCCAAGTACAAGAAACATTAAGAAAATTACACTAAGGCACATAAAAATCAAATTACTCAAAACCAGTGATAAAGAGAAAATCCTAAAAATAGCCAGAAGCGTCACAATACATACAGTGGAACAAAGATAAAGATGACATCAGTTTCTCATCAGAACAAAATGCAGTAGTGAAGCCTAGCATTCTATATCTAGCAAAAATATTTTTCAAAAACAAAGATAAAATATAGAATTTTTTCAGACATATAAAGGTGAAGAAAAGCACCACCAGGAGACCTGCCTTATAAATAAAGCCCTTCAAAAAGAGGAAAGTGAAATGAAGTGGAAACATGGAATGAAGAACACTAGAAATGCTAACTACAAAGGTAAATATATCATATTTTTATATTGTTTAAATCTTTAAAAAGATATTTGACTATTTGAACAAATAAACAAAAAAATCACAATGTGTTTTGAGGTTTAGAATATAAATGAATAGTACATATGACAACAATAACAAAGGACTAAAATACATTTATACTATTGTAAGATTCTATATCTGAAGAGATATAATATCACTTAGAGATCGATTGTGGTAAGTTTAAAATATATACTATTACCTGTAAAACAAATGCCAAAATAAATAAGTTATAACGAATAAACGAATAAAGGAGACACAATTGAGTAATAAAAAATGATCAATTAATCAAGAATTCAGCAGAAGAGGAAAAAGAACAAATAGAAACAAAGCAAAATAAGAAACTTAAACTTAGCCATATCAATAACTACATTAAATGTAAGTTGTTTTAACACCCAAATATAAAGCAAAGATTGACAGACTAAATAACAAAACAAGACCCAATTATATACTACTTACAAGAAACCCAGTATACATATAGAGAAAAAAATGGCCCCCACACCTTTCTGATTTTATGACATGCCACTATTATCTTCTGTCTTAGGATCCTATCTGGTCACAGACACAAAGTCCTTTAATTGTTTGAGAGCCTTGGGAAACTGTATTTTAACCCATAAGATATAACTGAATAGATAGATATTCTTCAACTGCTCTATGTACAACCTAGGGTTGTGTGGTCTTAACACAATTCATGGTACTTGCCTGCTAAGACACTAACCATCTGTCCTGCTGTCACACAGACCGGATACATTTTCTCCTAATAGAATCAGACTCTGGGTATCCTAGTCTTTTAGTTTTCCTAGGGTTTTAGAAACAAAAAATAACAGCAGTGACACAGAAACAGCAATTACAGCTAAACTACAGAATAACCATCATTAAGAATCATCTGAAGTCTATCTGAGCTGAAGCCCTACAACTACTGACACCTTAAGACTGATAGGAGGGGTGGAGACACAGAACAGAATGGTCCCACACCCACGTGGGACCATTCAAAATCAGGAGGATATCTTCCTGCAGAGGTTCCCCTGGAGGAGTAAGGGGTCACAGCTCCACACCAGGATCCCCAGATCTGGGTTCCAGTCTTAGAGAAAAAAGTTCCCATAACTTTTGGCTGTGAAAATCAGCAGAGATTATGGTTGAGTGACCCAGAGTGTGGCTGCAGTCCTACATGCATGGACTTATTCACTGATGGACTCACTCGATCTGAGCTCCAGCGCTGGGGCAGCAGCTCGAAAGGTGCCAGGGACATAAGGGGAAGAACTGAATTGTCTGGCTTCAGATTGAAGGCTGGAGGGCCAGTTTTCTACCAGAAAGAGGAACTGGCAGAAGCTATTGTTTCTTTATTAAGCCCTCCCTCTCCCTGCATGCAGATGTGGGTGGCAGCCATATCTGAGTCTCTATCAAACTGGCTATCACTTTTTCATCTGCCCTGCCCTAGTGATTCCCTAAAGACCCCACCCCACCCAACTTTTGGGCACATTGAAACCACTTCCAGTGGTTTCTCTGTACAAACAATTAGTCTTAGCTCATGCTGTGGACTTTCATAAAATCTCTCAAAGGTTTTCAAAACCCAAACAAGTAGCATATGGCTTTAGTGTGTCCCGTACCACTGGATGAGCAGCCCTAAGCCTGGCACTAGCAATAGCTAGCCTCGATTTGCACATTGGCCTCTCAAGGCACCTCCAAGCCTAGTGTAGGTGGCAGCCATCTGCAGAATGCTTTGTGGTTCATACCAGATGGCCCTAGGCAGGGCACAGGCTGCAGCTAAACTTGGCCTGCAGTGGGTCCCCCTCTAAAAAGCCCCAGGGCTCACATGCCTTGTGGCCAGCTTCAGACCAAGCCAAAGCATCACCCAGCCAATTCTAAAATTGACACACTCACAGGGCACTCTGGGCATGCACCAGAGTGAACACTGGGTGCCTTGCTAAAGTGCCTGTTCTGTAAGGTCAACTCTTGACCCACAGCTTCTCCACTGTAGTCATGGCCAGTCCCCACAATCAATCAGTCTGAGGGTCAATCCCACCCATTGATGTGCAAACAGAAACCAAGATTCGACTATAACAGGAGGGTACACACAATCCACACATAGGACACACCAGGAGTACACGGCTCTAGTGACCAGGCAGACTGCACCAGTGGGTTCCACAGGACACCTACTGCATAAGGTCATTCTACTACTGGGAGGCATGGAAGCCCTACCTCATACAAAGAAACAAACAGAGGGAGGCAGCCAAAATAGGGAAACAAAGAAACATGTCTCAAACAAACAGACAAACAAACAAACAAACAAAAAACAACAAAGCTCCAGAAAAAAAAATAATAACTAAACAAAATGGAGAAAAGCAATCTACTAGGTACAGATTTCCAATCACTGATTATAAGGATGCTCAATGATCTCAGGGAGAACTTCAACAAAGAGCTAGGAAACATAAAAATTGTCATAGAAAACATAAAAAAGAACCAGTCAGAAATAAAGAATAGAATAATGGAAATAAAGAATTATTAGAAGGAATCAACAGTACGTTAGATAAAGCAGATTAAATCAGTGATTTAGAAATTAAGGTAGCAGATAACACCCAAACAGAACAGTAAAAAGAAAAAAGAATCCAAAAAACGAGGATAGCTCAAGAGGCCTCTGGGACAACATCAAGCATACCAACGTTCACATCATGGGAGTACCAGAAGGAGAAGAGAGAGAGCAAGGAATTGAAAATATATTTGAAGAAATAATGACAGAAAACTTCCCTAACCTGGGGAAGGAAATAGATATACAAGTCCAGGAAGTGCAGAGTCCCAAACAAGATGAACCAAAGAGGCTGACATCCCGACACATCATAATTAAAATGCCAGAGCCGGCCGAGTGGCTCAGTTGATTACGAGTGTGAGCTCTGAGCAACAGAGTCCCAGTTCGATTCCCACATGGATCAGTGAGCTGTGCCTGAGCTGAGCTGCCACTGAGCTGCCAACAGGTGGCAGGATGGCTCAGCTGGTGAGAGCACGTGCTCCTAACAACAAGGTTTCTAGTTTGACTCCCGAATGGGGTGGTGGGCTATGCCCAGCCACAACCAAGATTGAACACAGCACCTTGAGCTGAGTGGCTGTGAGCTGCTGATGGGCAGCCAGATGGCGACTGGACTTGGGAGCTGAACGAGCCGCACCCTCCACAACTAAGATTGAAGGACAACAACTTGGCTGTTCCCCTTCCCCAATTCCCCAACACTCTTCCCCTTCCCCAATTCCCCAATAAAATTTTTTAAAAAGTAATAATTAAAATGCCAAAGGTTAAAGACAAAGAGAGAATCTTAAAAGCAGTAAGAGAAAAGTAGTCAGTTACCTACATGGGAGCTCACATAAGATTGTCAGCTGATTTCTCAACAGAAACTTTGCAGGCCAGAAGGGAATGGCAGGAAATATTCAAAGTGACGAAAAGTAAGACCCTACAACCAAAATAAGTCTACCCAGTAAAGCTATCATTTAGAATCAAGGGACAGATAAAGAACTTTCCAGACAAGGAAAAGCTAAAGGAGTTCATCATTACCAAACCAGAATTACAAGGGATCTTAGAGGGACTTCTTTACGATGAAAAAATAAATAAATAAAAATAAAAAATATGAATAATAAAATGCTAATAACTGCATATATCAATTCTTTTAAATCTAAGTGGATTCAATACTCCAACCAAAAGACACAAAAGGGGCTCCCCTGGCTCCTCCCTCCTCCCTAGCTTCTCGGAAGGCCGCGCCGGAGGGAGGCTGCGATGGCAGATGAGATCACTAAGGCTCAGACCGCCTGGCCTGGTGGCGACACGATCTTCGGCAAGATCATTCGCAAGGAAATCCCAGCCAAAATCATTTTTGAGGATGACCAGTGTCTTGCTTTCCATGACATTTCCCCTCAAGCACCAACACATTTTCTGATAATACCCTAGAAGCATATATCCCAGATTTCTGTAGCGGAAGATGATGATGCAAGTCTTCTTGGACATTTAATGATTGTTGGCAAGAAATGTGCTGCTGATCTGGGCCTGAAGAAGGGTTATCGAATGGTGGTGAATGAAGGTTCAGATGGGGGACAGTCTGTCTATCATGTTCATCTCCATGTTCTTCGGGGTCGGCAGATGAACTGGCCTCCAGGTTAAGCATGTCTTAGGGGTCATTTTCCCTTCTTAGGCAATGATCAGTTTCGCAAGTTCTAATATGTTAAACAGTACACTTTTTTTTCCCTGTGTATGGACAGATTGAGGAAATAATTGGAAAAATCTGTACATAATAAACAACATTGTTGCATGGTCTGAAAAAAAAAAGGACACAAGAGGGCTGAATGAATAAGAAAACAAGACCTTTACATATGCTGCCTACACGAGACTCACTTGATGTAAAAAGACACACACAGATGGAAAGTAAAGGGATAGAGAAAAGATATTTCATGAAAATGGAAATCAAAATAAAACAAAACAAAACAGGGTAGCATTACTTATACCAGACAAAATAGACTTTAAAACAAAGGCTATAACAAGAGACAAAGAAGAACCCATAATCCAACTTCTGGGTATTTATCTGAAGAAACCTAAAATGCTACTTTTGAGGGGACATGTGCATCCATGTGTTCACTGTAGTGTTGTTTATAATGGCCAAGATGTTGAGGCAGCCTGTGTATCCATTGATAGTTGAATGCATAAAGAGGAGGTGGTACATATATACAAGGAATATTGCTCAGCCATGGAAGGGAATGGGTTCTCGCCATCTGCTGCAGCATGAATGAGCCTGGAAGGTATTGTGCTGAGTGGTCAGACAGAGAAAGACAGATACAATGTGATTTTGCTTATATGTGGAATCTAAAGAACAAAATAAACAAACAAGCAAAACAGAAATAAACTCATAGATATAGAAAACATTTTGATGGTTGCCAGGTGGGAGGGGGTTTAGGGTGGGTAAAAAAGGGAAAGGGATTAAGAAGTAAAAGTTGTTTGTTACAAAGTAGTCATGGAGATGTAGGGTATAGCATAAAGAATACAGTCAATAATATTGTAATAACTATGTGTGGTGTCCGATGGGTACTTGATTTATCAGGGTGATAGAGGGGAGGGGGCCTGGGAGGGCAGGGTGAAAAAGGGGAAGGGATTAAGAAGTACAAATTGGTAGTTACAAAATAGTCATGGGGATGTAAAGTAAAGCATAGGGAATATAGTCAATAATATGGTAATAACTATGCATAGTGCCAGGTGGGTACTAGACTAGTCAGGGGATCACTACTTAAATTACATAAATTCCTAACCACTATACTGTACACCTGAAATTAACATAAAATAATATTGAATACAAAAATAAATAACATGTTTAAAAATCCAAATTAACTAGGATTTTAAGTAAGAAAAACTCTCAGTGGGAAAGGCGCTACTGTATATATTCTATGGACAAAACATGTTCCTCATTCTACCTTACATGAAGTAGTGAAGTTTATTGTCTATCAAGTGCTTCACACAATTCAATAGAATAGCATTACAAATGCACAATTGTCTATGAATGCTGTGTCTATATTTGAGCACAATAAAGAATTATGAATCATTTCCACTCAGTGTTGTAAATTTAATTTTCAAAAATATTATAAAATGAACTAGCTATTATTATAAAGATGCCTTTAGATGACATTTAATTACAATGCAGGGTAATTTATTTTACCAGCTAGAGTATGTTGGGCTAATTGCATTTATTTATGTTTTATGCTTGTACCATCATAACAAACAACCTATTCTATATGTTCATTTTATGTTTTTTTTTCCTTAATCTTAAAAGATATTCTGGATTTTTCTCTAAATTTTGGCAATGCTCCTTAATTGTAAGGGAAATATATCTTTGCTTTTACACCTCCCTTGTGGAAGAATGCTTTGATCTCTTTAGAAGTGTAATTGCATTTTATAGAATGGCTCCTCTTTGCAATTAGGTCTAGGCTTGGATGCTGAGTGTGCTTCCTTTCATGTTTCTATTCAATTATTTCTGTGGTAAATTTTCTGTCTCACCAACGTGTGCTTTCATCCCAGCCTCTCTCTGGTAACAGTAACTTCTGAGTTGCCACATTCTTTCATCTGATAAAGATAGGCTCTCTGATCATCCTTGAAGTGTTTTGGCAAGTTAGTCTTTGATTATTTTAATTACTCTTTTCTTTTACAGATATCTAATGAATAGCTCAATTTAAGATATTGTCATATCTCATGTTAGGTTCACTGTACTATGAAGATGATCATTATTAAAAGGGTAAATGTAGTCTTAAGTCTCCCTGTTCATTAAATGAATGGTGTTATTTAAACTTTAGTGGAACTATTTGGGTTCACTTTTCTGAAAAAAAGAAAAGAAGTATTTTATGATAACTGGCAGTGATCTATCCAGATTTCTGTCCAAAGACAATAACCAAGTTCTAGTCAAGTGACTACCTCCTTCTTGGTTCTCTTTCTAAAATTTTCACTTTGTAGTCCCCAAAAGACTCGGTTAATATGAGCATATAGTTCTCTGATACTAAGATAGCAAAGGACCATATAGCTTGAGAAAAAAGAATAAGAATAAGAAGGAGAAGGAGAAGGAGAAGGAGAAGAGGAAGAAGAAGAAGAAGAGGAAGGGGAAGGAGAAGGAGAAGGGAAAGAGGAAGAAGAAGAAATAAGTAAGAAGTAAGGATGGAAGGAAAAACGGAAGGAAGGAAGGAAGGAAGGAAGGAAGGAAGGAAGGAAGGAAGGAAGGAAGGAAGAAGGAAGGAANGAAGGAAGGAAGGAAGGAAGGAAGGAAGGAAGGAAGGAAGGAAGGAAGGAAGGAAGGAAGGAAGGAAGAGGAGGAGGAGGAGGCGGCAATGAAATAGAGTCTCGTGCACACTGTTTTGTTCTTTCACAGGCTAATCAAGTCTATTCAGGAAGTGTGTCCTAATGGTCGGAGGTGAGCCCATAGTTTCGTTAACAATTGTGAATAGAGGTTTAATGGTTCTAGATTGAGAATAACAGCAATGTTGCACAGTGAATCTGTGTCTCAGTTTCTCCATCTGTAAAAACAAAAATTAAAAAGAAATCCAGTAATACCCAATTATGTTAGAAAAACATAAATTGGCCACAGTTTTATTTGTGTGTGTAAAAAGGACCTTATAACTACTTGAAATTATCTTGTTTAGTAAGGTTTTAAACCAAATAAATGCTCAACCAGCGAGGTACTCAACTGTAGCTAATTTATTCAGTTAATGTTTTATCTATTTACCCACCCATCTATTAAAAAATAGATGAGTTGCACACCATCTAAGTGCCAGAAATTGTATAAGGCACTGTACATACAGCAGTGAACGAGAAAGATGGAAGTCTGTGCACTGGTGTAGCTGACATTCTTGTTGCATCTTGTGGGCAGAAAAAAATTAAAAAGGCGATGTGAAGAGGGGAACTTTTCAGAGTTAAGTGGACAGGGGATTACTATTTGAGAGGATAATGTTGAGCTCAGGTGAAATAACAAAGAGTGGTCCAGGCAAAGGACATCAAGTACATGTCCCTTGGGGAGAAAAAGAGTTTATTCAGATAATAATACAGAAAGAAGACCAAGGTAATTTGAGTGTGGTGAATATGATACAGGGTGATATGAGATGAGGGTTAGGGGCAGCACACGCATAGTGGAGCACATTGTAAAGACTTCAGAATTATTCTTAATACAATGGAACAATTTTTGAGAGTGCAGCAGGGTGTATCATGATCAGATTTGGTGCCTGCTGTGTAGACAATGAATTATGAAGACCTAGAATGCAAGCAAAGAGACCAGGTGGGAGATTCCTGAAGTCATATAAATCAGCAGTAAGGGTTACAGTGGAATTAGTAACAAGTACTTGACTTTGGGGAGATAAAGCTTAAATATCTCATAATGGTTCAGCTCGGAGCAGAGGTCAGAAAAAGAAAGGAATCAAGATGACTTCCAGGCTTTTTTTGACTTGAACAACTGGGTGGTGGTTGGTGACATTTACTCAGATGTGAAAGACACAATTAGGAAGAGAAATAGGGCAGTGCATCAAGAGTCCAGTTTCCGCAAATGGCAGTATTTCATCTTTTCTTATGGCCGAGTAATATTCCATTGTGTATATATACCACATCTTCTTTATCCAATCATCTGTCGAAGGACACTTTGATTGTTTCCATGTCTTGGCCGCCATGAATAATGTTCCAATGAATAATGTTCCAATGAACATTTATGAATAAATGTTTTCAGATTTTTTGGGTAGATGCCCAGGAGAAGGATTGCTGGGTCATATGGTAATTTTATTCTTAATTTTTTGAGGAACCCGCATACTGTTTTCCATAGCGGCTGTACCATTTTACATTCCCATCAGCAGTGTATGAGGATTCCTTTTCTCCACAGCCTCTCCAACATGTGTTATTACTTGTCTGGTTGATGATAGACATTCTAACAGGAGTGAGGTGGTATCTCATTGTGATTTGTGACAACATGGATGGATCTTCAGAGTATCGTGCTAAGCAAAATAAGTCAAAAAGAAAAAGTTGAGAACCATATGATTTTACTCATATGTGGACATAAAATGGAAAGCACAAATGAATAAGACAAACAAACAAGAAAAAACTCATAGACACAGAAAACAGTTTAGTGGTTACCAGAGTGTAAGGGGGGAGGGGGGTAGTAGATGAGAGTAAAAGGGATCAAATATATGGTGATGGAGAGAGAACTGACTCTGGGTGGTGAGCACACAATGCAATAGATAGATGAGGTATTATAGAATTGTACACTTGAAACCTATATAATTTTACTAACCAATGTCACTCCAATAAATTTAATTTAAAAAAATGAAAAAAAGAAAGAGTCCAGTTTTAACCCTGTTAACTTAAAGTAGCCTATGAGACATCTAAATGCTGATGTCAAGTAGATACTTTTGTATATGAATGTGGCACTCAAACCAAGGCTGGAAATACACATTTGGCAGTAATAACTGCTTAGATGGAGCTGGAAGTGCAGAAATTGTAAATAAATTGGGAAGGAAAGATTGCCCAGAACAGAGTCCTGGGGATTTTCAATATTTTGAGGCCAAGCATCAAGGAAGGAACCAACTTAGGAGACTTGAGATAGGGGAGAAGCATGAGAATATGATACAGAATTGCTAAGAATAAAATTTCAAGAGGGAACAAATGGATATCTATTTTTAATGCTTCTGAGAAGTCAAGAAGATGAGAGTTTTCCAAGATGGAAGTTGCTGTTGGTCTTAATGGAGCAGGTTTGGAGGCAGGAATTGGGATGAAAACCTAAGATAATAACGAGGGGTAGC